GACACAGGAAGGGTGGGATAGACTGGACTGCAATCTCTAATGCAGAAGCCACAATCCCTCTCACCCAGAAGGTCAGCATGTTTGTTATACACAGTTGAACAGAAAAACAGGGTTATTATGTGTACAAATGAATCAAGAAGACAGAGTTTGTGGCATACAGTTGAATGGAGAAGGGTTAGCTAATCTCAGTAGGAACCTTCTCTGTAGGGGAACAGTCTTTGTCTGCACATACTATCAGCATCTGTGCAAAAACCAGAGGAGGGCTTTGCCATCCCTCTGAGCCTCACCCAGAGAAAGATTTGCCATTTCCATGGAGCTGAGACTGTGGAGGTCTTGACATGGCCATGTCCAGGTCAACAGCACAAGTTCTCTAAGGACTTCACTTGATCCCTACAGTGGGCCATAGGCAAGTGAAAAAAAAGTATTCTAAACTTTCTCAGAAATTATAAACACGCCAAACATTCACCAAGTAATAGTTCATTGAATGTCAGGGCATACTCTATTTTCATTGATTTTTCTACTATTTCAATTCACACCAGGGTCACCTGTGAGTAAGATGGCAATCACATTCAAGGCAGCTATAGTAAATTCAATCCAAATCAGGGCCCCTACATGTAATTATTAAAAAGAGACCCTATATCTGTTTCTTTCTATGTGGTATGTGAATGGGCCCACTCAATTTAAAGATCCAAAGATGAGCATAAAATGCTCACTGCCTTTAGTCCCATGCAGTACAGATTGTGACAGTTGTCACCTATGAGAGGCAGTGTGGTAGAATAGGAAGAACTTGAATCTTGGGTTCAAAAAAGACTGAAGGTGAAACTGTGTGACCTTGGACAAGTCATTCTTGGCTTCAGTGTCTGCAACCTAAAAACAGAGATAGAAAGCAACTACCCCATGTAATGCTAAAATGGAAGTCTACAAGCAATTCAACATGGACCTTGTTATCTAATAAGGACTCAGAAGATGTCAGCCTTTTCTTTAAAGGCACCTATCATAATTTAAAGGCACCTATCATAATTTGTCTCATATTCATTCTATCCAAACCTTTAAGCTATCATGGAAGCAGATTGTGTGTGAATCAATTTTCATACATTTTTTTTTTTTACTTTTTAAGTAGTATACTCTTCTAATTATAAATGCCATGTGAGGGGAGGATGAGGAAAGGGGATAACATCCAAAATGTAAATAAATAAAATATTCAATAAAAATATAAATAAATAAATATCATGTGGAGGGAATATATTCAAATATCCCAAACTAATTAATGAAAGGAGAAATCTACACCAATCTCCCTAACCTCTCTCCAAACTCAGAATTGATGTAAAGAGTTTGTATAACAACTCATTCCACTCACATTTTTGTTGTTCACAAAATGGAATCAATTATTTAATTCTGATTCTGATTCTAAGGGGGCAGGGAAAGAGGAGCAAAAGGGGGACAGGAAACAAGGACCGTTTCATAGGAGTGATATGGGTAAAGTTTTCCTTAACTTACTGAAAAAGAAAGCAGCAGGATGGCAAAGCCAACTCCCCAAACAAAAGTACTTGAAGATGGTAAGTACTTGAATGATGCTGTTAGAATCTAAGCTGGTTAATGTGCTACAAATGGAAAAGTCCCAAAATGTAACACCTTTTAGGATTATTTAGCATACAGTTGAAAATATAGAATTAATTTGCTAAAGGTGCATTTAAAGTGGTTGCTTTAGAGCCACAGCTGTGTGTTAGTTCAATTGTCACAGCACCACAGCGGACTGTTACATTGTGCTTCAGGATTTTTAAAAGACTATTTTTTTAGCCGTTTTAGGTTCACAGCAAAATTGAGACAGCAGTACATCAAGTTCCAATACTGGGCCAGGAAAATGGCTCACCGTGTAAAGCATTTGCTGCACAAACTTCATGAGCCGAGTTTTATATCTGAAACCCATGGTAGAAGGAAAGAACTGAGTCCCAAAAGTTGTCCCCTGACCTCTCCAGGTACATTGTGGCACATGCACACACACAATACACAAAATTAAATAGCTTCCCAGTGCACTTTCTGTTCCCGTACCTCATAGCCTTCCTTTCCCTATTATCACGATGCCTATCATCCCAGCACTTGTGAGACCATAGCAGGACGATTGGGAGTTTTTAAGACTAGCCTGGGCTACATAGTGAAGTAGATAAAGACCAGTTTAGGATACAGAGCAAGATCCCAACTCAAAAGACAAAATCAAAACAAACAAGTAAAACCTGTAAGTGAGATAAAGATTTGGAAGTAGAAAGGGTCTGGGCTTCTTTCCGAGCCATCCTCCCACGGCACTGTCCCAACCTACAGGGGCCTGTGAACACACACTCAGTTTTCATCTCAGGCTCTTTAGAACTTCCCTTTGTGGGTGGAATTAAGTGTTGTCTTCTGATAAGACGTGTTTGTAGAAAAGACTGTTTGTCAGGGACTTAGATATATCTTAGGAAAGAATCCTGAAACTATTAAAATAACTTCACAGACACTTTGGGCATAGAGGTTTAGGTCTTGATTGAACCCTTGCTTTGATACTGGCTTCAACCTCGAGTGTATCATTTAGCCTTGCTGTGCCTTAAACACTCCTTTTAATGTAGGCTTGGTATAATAGCAAATACCTTACCTTGAGACAGTTGTGAGGACTGAACATATAAATAGAATATAGAAAAATCCTTTTGTATTTATGTTAGATATATATTATATTAATTTATATCAGATTAGATGTATTTACTACACCTTCCTCTATGCTGACTTGCCCATAATTAGCCTACCAAAATTACCAGTAGTATGACAATAGTTGTTAAGAGCATGTTGAGTACTAGGAAGAAATTCTCGCTTTGGTAGTTCTTTTTCCCAAACCCTATGGTTCTGTCTTCCTTTTCCAGAAACCCTTTGCTGGCCTAGTCTCTGTGTCTTCTTTCACTCAGCAAGACTGTCTATATACTGGACAAGTTTTACTGTGCTATTTTAAGATTCCAGAAGTTGGGGTGGAGAGATGGCTCAGTGGTTAAGAGCACTGATTGCTCTTCCAGAGGTCCTGAGTTCAACTCCCAGAAAGCACATGGTGGCTCATGACCATCTGTGATGGGATCTGATGTCCTCTTCTGGTGTGCTTGAAGATAGCAACAGTGTACTCACATACATAAAATAAATAAATCTTTAAAAAAAAGAGATTTCCGAGGTTATTATACTTGGGCCTTGTAGTACAGGTCTGTTAAGCTACTAGGGAATCTGAGACAGGAGGAATGCACATTTAAGGCCTGCCTAGGGCTACACAGTGAGTTCAAGACCAGCCTGGGCAACTCACCAAGACAAAAACCAAAAAGGAATTGGTATATAGCTTAGAGGTATACCACATGTCTAGCAGGTGTAAGGCACTGAGGGAAAAAAAAAGAACTTCATATGGCAAAAAGGGAACACACTCAGATGTGATTGCAAATGGCCGTGGCCATTTACCCCTGCCCACCTTCTCATATTCCATCCTTCCTCTTTGTGTATCTGGAAGGTGACTGTACAACAGACGGCCACAGAGGAGCATCTTAGGGTTTATTTGCATAATATATCAATCGCAGCTCTTCTCCCTTCTCTGGGGGAAGGGCAGCAGGTTTTTCAGGTTAGGAATTACTCCACACCCCTGTCCCTAAACTCTCTTCATTCCTAGGATATTAAGTCACCATAGCTGGGAGAACTCATGGTGGAAATGTTTGCCTGATTTAACTTTGAGGCAGTCTTTTTCAGCCTGTCTCTCTGTTCCTGTAGTTTCTCCCTTTAAGTGGCTGATTCACATGCTTTCATACACCAAATCATATCATTCCTGCTTTTAACTGGAGGCACAGCAATCAATCAGCAGAAGAAATTGGGATCTGAAGATGCAGTGCTCTTTAGAACTGATAATTTCTGTCCTTCATATTCTCATTAAATAGTTGTTAGAAGTCCATGTGAATCTTATATGACAACCCCAGACTCAGTCATGATAAAATGGTATGAAGGAGTTGAGACTGTAAAAAGAAACTTCTGTCTCCAAATGACTATATTCTCCCAAATTAAATAACCAATCTTTTTAGTTAGCTCTCCAAAGCAGTTAAAGTTGGTAAAACCACACTACACCCATAAGGAAATAGAATGATTCTGGTTAACAGATCACTACTGAGGAGAGGGAGGCCTCTCAAAGTAAGAGTAAGCAGGGCAGGGGGATGTGGGGGTGGCTAAAAGCAAATTTTTGGTAAAAGTAAAACTGGATTGTGTTAGAAAACCTCACACCATACTGTTTACACGTTCTCAAAACATGGTAGCTGTAATTGGTCCATAGCTAGTTCAACTTTAATGGTTTTAAAAGTAAATTATCAAATCTCCTCCCATTTTCTCCATTCTAGTTCTTCCTCTACACCCCCTCATCGCTATTCCCTTCCAAATCCATCACTGAAGTCCACTTAGTGCTTCCAGCATGTGCATGGGTGTAGAAGGGGCTCCTGAAGCATCTCAGGGACTGTATCCCTGAAATAAACTATCCCTCTCCAGGCAATCATCGAACACCAATAGCTCCTGAGCTAGTGGGTACTTTTAGGAGTTTGTCTCACTTTTACTGGTCTGTGAGAGACAATAATTTGTCAGATAATGCTGGGATAATTGTTTTTCCAGTGGACAGTGGCCATAACAACATCAATTGTTTGGTCACCTTTTGTGCATCTAGCAGAGAAGCCCACCAAAGCACATAGCTGGTATGAGATATAAGCATGTTGGCACATGAGAATATATGTGTATTGGGCCATTGGTGTTTGTTAATGACAAGAAGATTGAAAAAAAACCAACTACATTCCTCATTAGCAACTAAAATCCTGCAAGGAGACAGCAGTGTTGACAATCTCATGTGATCTGTTTCCCTCTTCCACCTTTATATCGCTGAAGAGTTACCCAGACTAATACAAAACCACATGGAGGTGGTGGTTTAGCCATTACTACTTTATCCCCCTAAGTGGAAATCAATAAAATACCCAGGACAGTAGCAGACACAAAGAAATCTTCTTTTATTTCACATATCAGAAAACACTTCAAATTACAGTTTAGCTTTTTGAGGTTTACATCAAGTAACAAAATGCAAAGACAGAAAACCTGAATTGGAGGAAATCCCTATTAATGGGGCACCAGGTGAGAAATTTCATTCAAACATTTCTCTCAATGGAGCTGGAGGCCTACACAGTTCCTTAAGAGTCGTTGTGGGGACCAAGGATGTCTTAGTTGGTAGAGTGCTTATCTGACTCCAGTTCCAGTGCTTAGTACTGCATAAATGGTGCTTGCCTAGCCCTGGGTTCAGTCCTCAGCACCATATAAACCAAACGCAGTGACACACATCTGCAATCCCAGCACTCAGAGGGTAAAGGCAGAAAGATCAAGAGTTCAAGCTACATCGTTCTTAGCTACATAGTGACTTTGAGCACAGCCCGAGTTACACGAGATCCTGCCTCATTCCCTATAGGAAGGAATCCTATTGTGCACACCTTCCAAAGGGGAGTGCCTATGAAGGTTGTCTTAAAAGAAAAATTTTTGCTGAATGACCACCAGTAAAATACTAATGGGGTTAACTCATTTGGGGAGTAGTTTTCTTCAATAATGGAGCCTTCTTCTTAGCCACAGTTCCTCATTAAAATACAAATATTCTAGCCACTCTCACAGCTAAAGGCAACACAACAGTCAGACTACTTTCTGGGAGGTTCTCATTCTTAGTAAGCTATCACATTCCCTGATCAGTACAGATGTGTTCTGGCAGAGTTCAGATCAGCCCAGGGAGGCTCAGCAATACCTCAAACAAATGAGCAAAGCTGGAAATTCAGAGCCTGTGTGAAGTACCTAGAGGTTATTCCAGTTGACTAGGACGTGGATAAACTAAAACACAGTGGCTAGTGCTGGTATCCAAGCATAGCAGTCAATCAGAAAGAAGTAAAACCTATTTGCAGGTCACTCTTTCTTTCACTAGGCTTACTAGAATTGTCAAGAAAACGATCCTGTGAGTACTCACACACACACAGGAAGCTCACCAACTCCTTCAATTTCACAGTTACTCCTGTCAACCCCAAACCCACCCTATAATGTTCAGGAGCAGAAAAAATATCAGACAATACTTTGCCTTGTGTCAGTTTCACAGGATGTCTCTGAGTTCTCAACCCTTTCCCGATAGTGCCTGCGGCAGCAGATACAGTGGAGGTAGTCTACTACGTTATGGGTGAAGAGTGAGCGCAATGGGTGCAAGTACTGGAAGAAAAGGAGCATGACTCCAATGGAAATCAGATAGGCAATGATAAGCTGCACAGCAATCAGGGAATGACAGTAATTCAGTAACACTTTGACTCCAAAGTACTTAAAAACCAAAACCATGATCACATTCTCTACCAACCTCACACTGTAGTGGAGTCCCATATGTCCCCAGTTCTGACCTTTGTCAACAAGGTCTCTGTCTGCCAACTTCAACTGCATGGCTGACCAGCAAGAGAAGTTGATGCCAGCATAGAGGATGGTGACAGAAATCAGTACCACCAGAGTGCCGACTCGGCTTAAATTTTTCTCAATATTGTTTGGCATTTGGGCACCACTCCTCCAGAACTTAACCCAGGGCTCAAAGAGGATGATCAAGAAGTTGAGCACTAAGAAGGGCACAGCCTTCAACTTCAAGGTGGCCGAGAAGAGCACCAGAATCACGAGGCGGGAAGTGATCTCCAATGTCCTCCAGATGGTGATACAAAGAACTTCCAGTGGTCCAAGTCTAATCTTGTAGTCATCATACTTGATCTGGATAGCCAACATATTGCAGAGGGTAGCCCCATAGGTGACAGATATCAGGGAAAAAACCATTAGCACTGCTGCAAAATAAAGAAAGAGACGAAGAAGCAATAAGTCAGTGTTTGCAGTGAAGAGGTCCAGAGATGTTGGGCAGGGCTTGGGACATCCCTTAACTAAGAGTAGATTATAGATGGTCACAGCTATGCATACAAACAGCATGCACCCGAATAAACATTGTTACAAAGACATAGAAGTGACTAACAGGTATAGAAAAGGATGTTCAATATCACAGATCATTAGAAAAATGAATGTAAATCACAGTGAGAGCTGGTAGTAGAGTTCAGTGATAGTGCCCTTGCCAGCGTGCAAAGAATGACCACAATAAGATACTGCCTAGTACCTGCTAGGGTGGCCACGATTTAGGGGAAAAAAATCTAACACAGATATGGAGAAAATTGAACCTTTATACATAGTTGGAATATACATTTATATTGCCATTGTGAAAACAGCATGAAGATAATTAAATACTGAACTAGCATATGATCCAGTAATTCCACTACTGGGTACATGCACAAAGGAAAGACAATGTGTCTCAAAGGATGCTATTATGTCATCCACTGCAGTGAGATACAGAATAGCTAGTATATGAAAACAATCTAAACGTCTATTGATGGGGGCATGTGTAAAGAAAATGGTATGCGTATGCTGTGGGATTTACTCCACAATAATATGAAGGAAATTGTATCATTGCAATAAAATGGATGGATATTGGGGACTTTATGCTAAGTGAAATGAGCAAGACTCAGAAATAAAAATAATTTATTACCCCATTTATAAGTGAAATGTCATAAATGAGCTATATTCAAAGAAACAATGCTTTCCAGGGCCTAGGGCTAGGGAACAGGAGGATGTTTTGCCAAAGAGAATGAAGTTTCTGTTACAAAATGATTACATTTGGGAGCTCTAATGTACAGCTTGGCATTATATTTCACACTTGTAATTTTCTGAAAGAGTTCATACACACAACTAGTAATTATATGAAGTGATATACATGCATCAAAACTTCTCATTGTAGACCTAAAATATATGCAATAAAACAAAATATCACACACAGAAAGAAAATAGAATAAATAAACCAAAACACCTTCTATAAAGTTGGTGGGGTTTTAAGTCAGTTTCTTTTAAATCCTGTGGGCTGGGTATATGGCAAAGGTCTTACTGAGAGTGAGCATGAAGAAAGCCACAGACCCAAGCTCCAGCACTATAAAAGTAAGCAAATAAAATAGTAAAAAGATGCTTTTATGCTTTCCTGTTTTCTAAGCTTCCAATTTAGAAATTTCAGATAGCCATACAATGCAAGAGTTTAATCACAGAAATATACAAAGTAAACTTTTTAAAATGAACAAGTCTTACAACTAATACTGAGAAGTCACTGACATGGGAAGGACACATGTAAAGGTACAGGGCAGACCTAACTGATAGGACAGCATTATAAGGACAGTGAGAAAGGATAAATAAACTGATACTATCTGGGACAAAACCTAATCTTAGGAGACATATAAGGTTTTTCTTCCTCCTTATTTTCCTCTTCTTCCTCTGATGCTCCTTTTTGAAACAGGGTCTCACTCTGTTGTAGCCCTAGCTGGCCTGGAACTTGCAATATAGACCAAGCTGTACTCAGACTCACAGAAATCCTGTTTCTGCTTCTCAAGTACTGGATTACCACGTCTAGAAACTGCCATTTGCAGTTGACATCTAATCTTTGATGTGTATCTGCTTCAAGAAACCAGTCTTCTAGAGTGACTCACTCCAGTTGCATATGCCAAAAAATAAAATGTAGTAGAAATCTCATGAAGGCAGAAGAGGCCATATCTAGTTTGCCAACCCTTCAAAGCTAATACACAAAGGTTGGTGGAATGATGAAGACTTCTGAGTTGACAGAGGCAAAAATACATGCTTAGGATTCAAAATCCTTCAAAAATCCTCCTTGGGGAGGATTTACTTAACTGCTGGGTCTACCACTGCATCTTTTTTTTTTAAATAAAAATGATTATATTTATTATGTAATCTCCTCTAAATTAATCAATAGAACCTTTTAAAATTATACACCTCAAAAGGAAATAATAAGTATTTGGCTGTTTTAAGGAAAAAAATATACTTGCTTGAAGTGAGATTGTGGAATTCTTACAAACTGTTCAGTTTCATAAGGAGCTACATCATGATTGGAAGCCATTAAGCTCCCTTATTTTATCTTGAAGAGGATCCACCTTTAAATCATCAAATAATAGTATAAATTCATCTGTTTTAGACCCCAAGAAACACCTTATTATATTCCACTCTAATATGTAATAATCTAGTCTAGAAATAGTTTCTTACTAAAAACCTAAATGGTTCTTGGAATCATTAAAAAAGATCCTCAGGCGTTTTGGCTTTCAATATAAACTTTTTATTTTTTATATCTATCATGTCAAGCTCTGGCTCTTTGTTTAGCTTTTTAGTATCTGTTTTTCTTCTATTCACATATACAGACATTTAAAAAATAATGATGACTGTATAGTAGAAAGTTACTGCTCGCATCAATTGCTGATGTCATGGAAGTGGATTTTATGTATACCATTTAAATAGTTATATTATCTAAGCCTTCTCAAATCCTTGTTTGATCGCATTTCCTTGTATTTTACATTTCTGATATTTTCAACGTTAAGTTCCTTTACTGTTTTCTTGTTTGTTTTTTTGCTTGCTTTAAATAGGTTTATATCTTCTTTGCAAAAGTGAAAACTAATCAGAAGGTAAAATGAGAATAATAAAGTTGTGAGGATTAAATAAAATAATTACATGTAAAAGCATTGGAGAGGTGTCTATAGCTTCTGTCTTCTATTTCCTCTTCCTCCACTCCCCCTTTTCCTCCCCTTCCCCAAAAACATGAATAGAGAATTGCAAAGTTGTTGCTCTTGGCTTTCTAAAGTTCTCTTCTTCCTTTTTCACCATCCAACACAGACTTGATTATTCATATAAAACCCCCGTACCGAACTGAGTTAACTCAATCCAAAATCAGTGATTTTTTTCTTTTGTGGTTACTGTTTATTAAGATTGGGGAAATGGAGGCTGGAGAGATGGTTCAGCAGTTAAGAACACTTACTACTTTGCAAAAGACTTGAGTTCTCTCCCTAATAACCTCATTGGACAGCTCATAATTACCTGTAACTCACCAGAGGCGTGTCTGATATTTCTGCCTCTGGCCTCTGAAGGCACCTGAACTCTGGCACACAGACACATATGTATATACATACACATAATTTTTAAAATATAAAATTAAAGCTTAGCAACTAGATAGGTGCTCAGCGGTTAAGTGTACTGGCTACTCTTACAGAGGACCCAGGTTCAGTTCCTAGCACCTATAAGAAGGTTCTTAACCTACAGTTCCAGGAAATCATGCCTTTTACTGGGCTCTCCAGGCATCAGGCATGCAAGTGGAATATATATACATGTGCAGACAAACTCATACACATACATCTTTTTTTAAAAAAAATTGAAAAAGTGTGGTAATTGGCAAATTGGTCTTGGAAATCAATCTATTTAGAAGATTGGTATGAAAAACCTGTAAGAAAGGCCAAAAAAAAAAAAAAAGACCTGGGATTGGACAGGCGCCCAAGAATCAATGGGAGTGACTTTAGCTGTGACTCACAGCATTGGGGATATGGAACTTGAAGAAGCCACCTCCTGTACCCAGGCAGGAACTCCAGTGGAGTGATAGGGATATCAACCCACCCACAAAACTTTCAACCCAAGATTTATCCTGTCTACAAGAAATGGAGGGATCGGGGAAATGGAGCAGAGACTGAGGGAATGGCCAGCCAATAACTGGCCCAACTAGAGACCCATCCCATGGCATCAATCCCTGACACTATTAATAACACTCTGTTATACTTGCAGACAGGAGTCTAGCATGGCTGTCCTCTTAGAGGCTCCACCTAGCAGCTGACGAAGACAGATACAGACATTCACAACCAAACAGTGGATGGAGCTCGGGGACTTTCATGGAAGACTAGGAGGAAGGATTGTGGGCCCCAAATGGGATAGGAATTCCACAGGAAGACCAACAGAGTCAACTAACCTGGACCCTTGGGCTCTCAGAGTCTGAACCACCAACCAAAGAACATACATGAGCTGGACCTAGGCCTCCCTACACGTATGTAGCAGATGTGCAGCTTGGTCTTCATGTGGGTTCTGAACAACTGGAGTGGTGGCTATCCTAAAAGCTGTTGCCTTTATGTGGAATAATTTCTTCTAGCTGGGCTGCCTTGTCTGACCTCAGTGGGAGAGGAAACAGGAAATGCTTAGCCTTGCAGAGACTTGAAGTGCCAGGGTGGGTGGGGGGAATACCCAGGGGGCCCCACCTGCTCAGAGAGAAGAAGAGAGGGGATGGGGGGAAAGATTGTAGGAGGGGTGACTGGAGAGGGGCAATAAAGTGAATAAGTTAAAAAAACATTAAATTAAATTCAAAAGAGAGAATAAATTCAAAAATGCATAAAAGGCAAAAAACTATAAACCATGAATATTTTAATATGCAAAAATTGAGCATTTCAAATATGATGTATGTGTGTGTGTGTATGTGTGTGTATTAGACCAAGGTCTTCAACATGCTAGGCAGGCACTCTGTAATTGAGCTACATCCACAGTCCATTATGCATACCCAGTAAATTAGAGTCTGGGAGGATATATACTGAACAGTTAACAGGAATTACTTTTGGTGAGTGACATTCTGTTTTCTATGTTATATCTATTCTATGTGGTCTGAGATGTTGCCAAAATATCTAACTTTTATAATTTAAAAATAAAAACAAAAAATAGTAGTGCATTAAGATGGCAAATTTTCATACAGAAGCATTTAAAGATAACACCCCACTGCCTTCTCAGGGCTTCTTAGGTAGGGGTTTTTTTTTTTTATAGTTTCCAGAAATTTTCTCTGCGGATACAATTACCTGTAGGCCAGTCAGTTGGCACGTTTGTCACTTTTGTGTTGTATACATATTTTAACTAGATGATTTTCCAGCTCTCAAAATTCTCAGGAAGACAAGCAGCATTTCCAGACAATGTTCTCCTCAAACTACTGTCAAAAGTACCCTTGTAAAAAGCTTCCAAACCAACAGAACTTCAAAACAATTGTTAATGGAGCAAAGGGAATAGAGTTGCCCCTCTTCCATTCATTTGAGACAGAGGAATTTGCCAACCAAGGTGAGAACTTAATACTTATAAAGAAATGGTTCAAACTCTACCCGCATCTGAAGCTGCATCTGTCCAACCAGATGAAGCAAACCCGGGCTGGTAAAATCCATTAACAAGATTTGATCTTGACCTTGACAGCCCTGACTCACATTGCTTCCTCTACTATAGGTCTTACTCATGTAGAGATTCATCTTTTTACGATTAGGAATTTATGTCAGTGGCTGCTTTGTAACTTCCTCCCGAGATCATCAAGAAAGAAGGTCAGTCCTTGGACCAGGCCTGACTGACCTGTATGCATCCCCACCCCCTCTCTGTCTCTCTACTTACAATGTGAGGAAATGATTACATCTATGGTTCTTTAATGAAACTAGCCAGAATCCACTAGAGTACTTTTTACAAATGCAGATTCCTGGCCTCCCCACACTCTGTGATCAATTTGGGTCTGAGGAGGGAAGACAAATTTTTAAAAAGAACCTTCTAAGTCAGGTATGCCAGCTCTTATCTGTAGTCCCAGCACATGGGAAGCTCAGCAGGAGGATTGCCATGAGTTAGCTGTCAGCCTGGGCTATATAATGGAATATAGCCTGGAATAAAATGTGAGCCACCACAAAAACAAAAAAGAAAGACAAAGAACCTTCCCACATGACTATGATATACAGACATAATTTGAGAACCTTTACTCTAAAGGTGGACATCTCTAAACAACTTACTTAAGCAACTAGCAACACTGTGTATACACTGGTGACAAGGGAAAGTTTTCTTTTTTTTCTGACTGCTACTGTGGCAAGAGGATGTGTTTGTAAAATTTTTAATTTAAACACTGCTTATCCCAATTTAAACACTGTAGCAGGTCTGAGTTGTCTGCCTCCATAAGTTCTAGTGCTGCCTAAGAGAACTATTTCTGATGACAAAAGCATTTTAAACTGCTGCCATCCCAAACAATATCAGACATAGTTATTGGGCATTTGAAATATGGACATCACTACCGAGAAAATGTGCTTTAATGGAGGGTGTTTTTTTCCTTTAAATTGCACATGAGGCTAGTAGCCAGTATATTGGACACTTCAGGCCTAGACTTCTAACACTTTTGGTTTAAACAGAGCCCTCCCTTCTTTTGACCCCACTCACCTCTACCAAGGGGGACTTCTGCAGAGATCAGAGTCACATAGAGCTGATAGGTCAGCTGGGGCACTGAGCCCAGGAAGGCTTGAATCTGTGACATACGTTTGTAGGCATTGCGGTGCATAGCCAGAGTCCGGATGGAGTGACCCACCTCCCATTCTATCAGCACCTCCTGGCCGTCTATTAGCATCTTCTTTCGGGTGAGGCTGACATATGGCTCCTCCTGCCCCTCTTTCTTCCACAGTGTAAGGTACTTAATCATGGCCTCCAAACATCTGCGGGAGTAAAGCATCATGGGAACTTAGCTAAAATTGTCCCAAGAAAGGAAGGTGTCATAAAGGGAAAAAATCTGGGGGAGGTATTATTATTATTATTATTATTATTTGACATTTTCTTTCATCTTTCCATTACACAGGAATCAAGGAGTTGGCCATATCTTGTATAAGTCACCTGGATCTAAGATTTTGTTTCTCTCTCTCTCTCTCTTTGGTAACTCACTGACCTAAGAACACCATTTCAGAAATACTTTGTAGCCGGGAAGTGGTGGCGCATGCCTTTAATCCCAGCACTTGGGAGGCAGAGGCAGGAGGATCACTGAGTTCAAGGCCAGCCAGGTCTACAGAGTGAGTTCCAGGACAGCCAGGACTACACAGAGAAACCCTGTCTCGAAAAACCAAAAAAAGAAAAAAAAAAAAACTTTGTAGTCAAGGAATTGTTCTATCTCCTCAAAAATATGTCTGTGGTTTTTAAAATGTGCCTCAAATACAATGGTATTAAGAAATACTATGTTCAGAGAGAAAATGGGGGCTCCAAAAGGCCCTGGATTTCACAATACCTTAAATTCCTAAATTCAAACATTCTTTAATAAATGCCTTGAGCTTCATAATTGAGATTCTTAGGTTCTGCTTCCAGGAAAACATCTCTTTTTGTCTGTGTGTGCCTCTTGTTGGGGGAGAGATCCCTTTTAAACCTGATTCTTTCTTTACAAAGAAAATAACCTTACCAGAGCCTATTACCCTTGAAATCTTGCTGAGAGCCGATTTCCTGCTGTGACCCTCCCACACCTCCCCCATCAAAATCAAAAGTCTCTGGCAGTTCTCATGTGATAAACAGAAGGAAAAAAAGCAACTAAGTACATGCTGTTTTGTTACACCTGAGTTATTGCCACCTACACACACACACACACACACACACACACACACACACACACACACTCTTACCCTGAAAAGAATGGAAACTTAACCATTTTTGACAAGAATATTTGTACTGGAAGTTAAGAAAGCATCTCTAATAGATTGAGGGCAAGAGGCTCTAGTTATCTTGCTTCCAGCTCTTGTCACAAAAAGGGGAAGTTGATCAACATTTGCTGAGCAAAAGAAAGAATAAGCATGAAAAAGGAGAAGGCAAGTGGGAAATGGCAGAAGATGAGAGCGGAGAGTGGCTCATAGGAAAACAGTAAAGACAAGTTCAGGACTGATGTGCTCTCTAAGCCTTGACTCTTAGTAGAAAGGTTTAGAATATAAGGTTCTGGCTGCCATTTTCCACAATCCCCTGAAATTTTTTTCATATGTACTACTCCAATATGCGCAGAAGAAATTTCTACTTTCAGGCACGTGGTGTGTGTGTGTGTGTGTTTGTGTGTGTAGTGAGGCATACATGTGCTACAGTTTGAGTATGTAGAGATCAAAGGACAGCCTTGGGTATTGGTCCTTGCCTTCCCTCTTGTTTGAGGTGGTTCTCTTTGCATTCACCAGGCTAGCTGGCCCACAAGCTTCTGGGGATTCTTTTGTGTTTCCCTCCCATCTCACTGTAGGAGTACTGGGAATAGAGGTCCAGCTGTACATGGGTTCTGGGAACTACATTCAAATCTTCATGTGTGCACAGCAAGTGCTTTATCCACTGAGCCATCTTCCCAGCCCTGAAAAGTCCACTTTCTATAGACAAACCTGAGTGAGAAAAAGAAAGGAAAGAAAAGAAACGGCAACTTTGACTACTTAGGGGAAAATGTCTAATTTCAAGCCCATCCAAACTACTGTTTAACAAAATATTGGGAGCAGTGGCATGAAGTCTCCTGCCTATGAGTCTATATGTGAGACTATTTGTTAGTTTAAGTAAGGGTATGTTGGTTACTCCTGAGCTACAGTAAACCAGAGTACATAGATTTCCAGAAGCATGTGTGCATTTCATGTAAGACAGCCATGCCCTAGAAACATCATTTGTGTGGTGATACTCTTTACCTAAGGAAAACAGGAATGGGCCTTGAAAATAGGTGTATAAATAGTGTAATTTCTGAGTTTACAATAATTCTTCTGAAGAACTATAGGCAATTAATGTTTACTGAGTGTCAGCCTTAAACACGTACACATATGAATAACACTAAATGGACTCAAGAAGCATTTATATATTATATGTATATATTATATTCTTATCATATATATTTTTTTCAAGGAATAATGAATCTGAAAGGGAGTAGGGAGACATTGAAGAAGTTGAAGGAAAGCGAGGTGGAAATGATATATACAGCATGTATGTAAGAAAGTCTCAAAATATATAAAAATTTTCAATAAAATCAAGTATTCTTTCTGCTGTGGGATTAGTGTGACCGGGGTTCTAAATGCTGCTCCATCCATGTGCATACAAACTAAAGGACAAATTTGAAAAACAGTGAACAACGCTCTATATAGAACAAAGTGAAAAACAGCTTAGAAGGCCACAAACAAAAAGAGGAAGTAAAAACTAAGGGCTGCGGGCTAGGTGCTTGCATCCTCTTCAGCTGCTAATTTGGTATATTGCATTTTGAAAAGGACCAAACATTTGTTTTCCTGAGTCCGTCGTGACATCTTGAAATTTCATGGTTCCAAGTTAAAGATAAAGTCTTCCTTTTACAGCTAACTTCAAACTTTTTGAACAGGAACGTAACATTAGATCAAGTTACATATGCCCATCAGAGTCACATCTGTACATTAAATATAGAGAATGGCTCATACTGCATTCTTTCTTTCTTTTTTCTTTTAGTAAGTTGCCAAATTTAAAATCATGAAATATCACAGAAACCTCTGACTTGAGAACTAACTACTCCCCAAAATTAGATCTGTCAATATCGAACTCCAACATACAAACAGTAGATTAGAGTTTTAAAGTGACTGCTTCCTAGACAGGCACATCCCAGATTCCAATTTGACATGGTATTCCATTTCTTTAACACTGAGACTTTGTTTCCATTTATTTCACATGTGAGACTATTTTCTAACACTTGCCCTACTTCCCTCATTCATAGTATACACACAGCCCCTGCGAGCAGTTGGGTTTGGAACACAAAGTCGTCTAGCCTAACGCATTTATGATACAGATGAAGGAACTGAGGCCCAAGGCATCTTTAAGAGTTACCACTGAGGCCATACAGCTTGCGAATAACAGGAGGAAGACCAAACTTAGAGTCACTGCTTTGTAAAGATAGCTCAGCCTACAAGTTCTGTGATGAGACTTAACTAGTTCCTCATTGTTTAAAACAATATTGATAAACATATTCCAGACTTATGGAAATATAATTGACAAACAAATATATTCACAGATAATAAATTTTGTTAATGGGGGGTCCCACTCTTAGTATGTTTCACAGACCCTTTAGATCTCTGATGAGCGGTCTTCCTATTATGATTACAACACCAACACTGTGACCCACATTCCTCAGCTGACTCCAGATGTTTGTCTCTCTTACAGTCATGACAAACTTGATCCATTCTTCCCTCCTGACCTCATAAGTTATGCAATATTTCTCTACAATGAAACCCCATAGCATCCAGATGAATCTGTGGGCATAGATGCCTGTCTCCCTACAATTAAGAACGTTCTCATCTTGCTTGCAGCAATATGAATGGGAATACCTGATCCTAGCGCTCTTTGCTACTAACTCCATACAGAGGTGTACTGCCTTTCTTTGGTCCTTCCAACCTGGGTATACCTACTTTAGCAATGTAACAAGAAATAAGCAAGAAACTGATCTACCAATATCGAAGACTGAACTTCATTGAGTTTAGTACCACCTTGCTACCTCCTATTACTTAAAGTACTTTTCAACCAATTCTAGAAATTTTGAAAATGACAAAAAAAAAAACAGCTCAAGAAGTCCACAGTGTTAAAACTGAATGTCAGAATGAATGAAGGCAGGAATACATATTTATTTACTCATAGAACATCTAAATGACAGAATTCAAATTATAGTCTCTGGAGGCTAGGACTATATAGCTCAATGAAATAGCGCTTACTTAGCATGCCGACCCCTGGGTTTCATCCAAGTAAAGTGAAAAATAATCCCTCTGTAGCTCTAGCTCAAGAGCACAAGGTGACTGCATTTGTTGGTCCCATACCTGTTTTCACAACACAAACTCAGTAAGAACTGTCTAATCAAGTCTTATTGGTGATGGTGCTCACGGTTTTTGAATATGTATCCATGCCACAAAGGCACTATGGCCTATAGCAATACCCAAGATTTCAGATAAGGTGATTAGAAGCACAGTACCAGTCATATAACTATTCGCCTCATCCATCCCCTGTACCTGTTTGAAGGAAGTTGGTTGGGTAGAGATTCAAAAATGCTCACCTGATAACAGGTCCCAAGAGGATTAGATGCATAAATAATGATAGTGGTCTATCTTTAGCCAGGTCTCTGTGGACAAAAATGAGAGTCAACTGAACCATGATAGATGAAAACATAAAAAAGGAAAAGGTGTATGTCATCCAGAAGGTTTCATTGTTCTTTCGGTAAATTCTAACCATATACAAGGCAGACGCAGCCTCCCCACAGTACAAAAAGGTGGAGAAGAGGATACTAAATGGAAAGGTAAAGCGTGGGTTAGGCCCACGGATGACATCTTCTTCCAGAGATGAAATAGGAACCACATTTGGCTCCTCAGGAATCTCATAAACTCTGTCCATTGTGGAGACTCTCTTATTGTCTGGAGTTCAGAGCTCTTCGCCATCCATCCCTAAAAGAGACCCTGTAGCCACTGCTGGTCCAAGGATCAGTCAGGTGGACCGTGGCTAGTTTTGTCCTTGAATGAAGACCAACAAGTCAGAACAGGACACACCTCACTTCTAGACTTAACTTGAGAGTCTGGAGTGGAAAGTCCAGGAGTATGTCTTTGAACTTCACTCTTGATTGGCCCTGGAATACAATCTTCAACATATGTGCTGAGAAACTTGGACAAGCACTCCAGCACTGAGTCTGGTGTCCAATTCCAGGCGTGTGAAAAGGCAAGGAACAGCTGTTTCCCCCAAGCCTCCTTTCATAGTCCCCCAGGCAGAGGAGTAGCCACTTTGAGGAGGCACATCACACACTCAGCAGCTTCTCCTTAGGGATTCTCATCCGTGTATCCTCTCAAGTCAGCAGAGAACCGAGCCAAGGTAGAAGAGGGAGCACAACCTGGGTGTCCTGTCAAAGATTCAGTTCAGCACCTAGGTATCCATCCAACCTGCTACTAGGTTGTGCCTATTAGCTAGCCTACTCGCTGGCTCATCAGAGCTCTCTCAGGACCTGTAGGGAGGCAAATGTTCTCACGTAGGTTCTCCAAGCCCCGCCCCTAAGACCGCCTGGTTGGGGGCCAAAGCAATGTCACCACTGTTCCCAACGATGTCTCCTCGGAAAAAAGCGGAGCGCGTGAAACCGGATAGAAGATGCTGGAGGTGTAGTTTCACGGAGACACTTTGCTACAAAAGGAACAGTTTGAGAAGTGCGTCGAGTCCTGGTCTTTGGTAACTATGGCACCTGGATGACTTGGGTGGAGTGGTGGTGGCGTTGGCCAGGCGAGTGAGAGAGACAGCTGGGCAAAAAAAGTATATAAGCCACAGTTCCAAGATGAACAATATGAGTAGCCAAAGGATGCTCCAGGTAGAGAGGCGCAACACAAAAGGAGCCTGTGCCAGTCTTCAGCAGTATTTCTCACCATGACCTCGGGATTCAGGAGGGAGCCACAGCTTTTTCCTCTTCTCCCGGAGCAGCAGCATGCACCCACTTCTACCCCGCCCTCCACAACAGCTAGCTAAAGTAGCTCGCTCCCACACTCGCTCAACCCACGCAGTTAGGCAGGTGTGTCTCCCTGGGCCGCAGGGTTGAACCTCCCCAGGTCCTATTGCCCTCCAGATAATATCAGAAAAGCGGGAACCTTAGTGGGAATTGGGTCAGAGGTTTCCCATTCAGGTAAGTCTGTATGCAGCAAAGGAAAGATTGAATCAGATAGAGATCAAAACTCTGAGACAGCCTACAGACGCCGAAAGCGCATAAATGCCTTGATTTCTGCTCTTAGAAAATGAGGCCAGGACAGAAGCTTTAGAAGAAACTTTTAGGTCTTTGGTTAAAAAGGCTCTGAAAGGGTGCCAAATACTAAACAGCCAAGAGGGCTGTTAGTAACCACCGGAGAGGGGTGTCTTAAAGAGCGCCTAAAATTGTCTCAGGTTTTAAGGGCAATCCTCCCCCACCCCACTGAGCTTTTGTTTTCATGCTTCGTTTGCATAATCCTAAACCCCAAAGAAAAAAAGGGAAACATCTGCCTCAGGGTAACATAAATGTAGCAGACCCAGTGTCAGCAGGAATCTATGGGAGGAGGAGCGACCAGAGAGCAGCCACCAAAAAAAAAAAAAAAAAAAAAAAAAAAAAAAAAAAAAAAATGGCCTCAAGATAGACTCGGTCTTCGTCATTTACTGTGTTTGTGCCTGTGTGTCTCTGTCTGTGTATCTGTGTTTGTCTATAGAAGTTCCCTCAATTGCCCCTTCCTTTTCCCAGGGCCCATTGGAGGACAGAGTCCCCTTGGAAAGCTTGTCTTCTGAGGCACAGCTGTCCCTGGTCTAGGCTGGCCTGGAGGCTCACACTTCCTCTTTTGTGGCCTCTCTAAGGAGGTGATAAAATTGAGAACAACTTCTTTAAAAATGTTGATGGCTTCGAAGGAGGATTGGTGCTCTGCCTGGCAGTACATGGTACATTATCTCTTTGGGCTGCTTTCCCTTTTTTTAAAAAATTTATTTTTATTGGTTTGGAGGGAGGTTGTGATTTGGTTTGTTTCTCGAAACAAGGTCTCACTCTGTAGACCAGGCTGGCCTCAAGACTCACAGACATCCACCTGCCTCTCTGCCTTCCAAGTGCTAGGATTAAAGAGTGTGGGTCACCTGCTTTAGCAAGCAGCTTACAAGGCATGTTTCGGGCACAGTGACCAATTTATCCACTTCAGAAGAGTATGGTGAATTAGTCATCCAAACACAGAAAAGCTATAAAGACTGTAGGATAAAATTGGAATGGTCCTTCTGCCTTTCTGCATTGTGCCCCATGCCTTTACCACTCCCCCAATCCACAGCATTACAAAGTCTTCCTATTTTGTTCCCAAATGACTGGTTATTCTGTCTGACACCCAAGGCTATCTGTAATCACTACTGCCTCTCTATAATTTTAGTCTCCCACGCCGCCATGCTGCACACCTTTCGCACCAGTCCAGCAGGTTTGCTCACTTGGCCATATATTCATCCTGCTCACCCCCAGGTTCTGTGCCTCATTGATGCTATGTACGGCTCACTTCATCCCTTTCTCCATTAGTCCACGCGATGATCTTCTTTCAAGGATCACCTTTAACCCTGACAGGCCATTGGTAACTTCCCCTACCTTCGTTTTCCTTCCCTTGTGCCATCTGTACACACCACACACTCTGTTGTATGGGTCCTTCAACTCCGTTTGCTCTGTCTTCCCAGCGGAAATAGGAACACAGGGAGGGTGCCTAATGAATGTTTAGTGTGGCTCTCAATGACAGTGGTGATCAAGTGGTGATCAACAACTGACGATGATGAAGCTTCCTCCCCTTACTTCCTCCATGAAGCCAGGAAGAACTCAGTCAGATTCAACTCTAAATGCTATAGCCATTATAAGTGGAGCACAAAGTCCTTTGACTGAATGTGCAGTCTTTTTCACCCATTCAGCTCACAGAGGATGTCAATCCATGGAGCTGTCCCTTTTCAGGCATTCTTTTTGTCAGCACCACATTTTAGTCTCAAATTACGAATTATTTCAAGTATATTAATTTTTATGTTCCAACTAAACTATTATAGGATCTTAAGGTTAGGACTCCTATTATACTTTTATTGGATTCCTCTGGGGCTGGTATAAATGTGTTCATTTCCTGACATCTGATTCCTCTCATCAACCAGCTTCTCTATTTTCAGTCTTAAGACTCTCTGGCACTCTAGGTCACTAAATCCTTGGGTCTCTTATTTCCCTGTTCCTTTGCCCTACTGGAAGAAACTAACAGAGTGTCCCTGTGTCTAGCATTCTTTGATCCATCAGTGTATTAGTTACTGCTGTGATAAGATACCCAACAAAAGTAACTTACGGGAGGAAAGGTTTATTTGGGCTTACACTTCTAGGAGATACAGTCCATACTGGCAGCAAGAGCAGGAGGCAGCTATAGAACAACCACAGGCAGGAAGCAGAGAGCGATGAGTGTGCGTGCTCAGCTCACTTTCTCCTTTGCATTCAGTCCAGGACCCCAATCCATAGAATACTACCACCCACAGGAGGCAGGTCTTTGCATCCCGTTAACTTCAGATAAGTCCTCACAGGCACACCCAGACATTTGTCTTCTCGGTGATTCTAGATCCTTGACAACCAAGAGTAGCTATCACAATCAGTCAATTTCTTTGGGCAACTCTGCTCTTCTTAGGACAAGGGACACTGAAAATGCTGACAGTAATTAGACTTCTGAGGCCCAGAAGCTCCGTCCCCACTGAAAGCACAGATCTCTCAAGAGCTAGTTAATTGAAATGAAGCCCATAGGTAGTCCTCTGAATTCTAGGTAGTATTCAAGAGTCAATTTCCACCCTTTGTAAAGCACCAGAATTGTGCAAAAGGGGGAGGCTGAAGCACTGACACCTTACCCACACCCAGTCCATAATTCAGCATGAAGAAAGACTGTGTCTAAAAGTCACCTTGTCTAAATCTCTTGGCATCTTTACAGCATTGAAAACCATTCAACCCATGTGATGCTTGGGAACTACGTCGAACACTCCAAGCCACTGTAGCCAGAAGACTGCTCATAGGCCTTCCAGGAGTGGTGCTTATAAGGACACAAGGGAAGAAGAGAGGAAAGAAAGTAAGTAATCAGCAGCAGGTGGCTGATAGAGCACTCACAGAGTACCAGTCTCCAGAAGGCGATGGCTAGAGAAGATCAATAGCTAGAATGGAAGAGTGGCTTCCTTCTATAGAATGCTCATTTTCAGCTGCAGCATCCTTAAAAGATATCTAAGGCAAAAATCAATCATGTATCCTCTAGGACTTTTTTCCTTCCTTCCTTCCTTCCTTCCTTCCTTCCTTCCTTCTTCCTCCCTCCCTCCCTACCTCCTACCCCCCCTCTTTTTTTCTTATATACTCTTTAAGTATTAAGATTCTGGCTTTTCAGTTTGTAGCCCACTCCCTCATTAGTATCACCCACAGATAGAATCTGAGTCTGAATCCAAAACATGGGTGGATTCACTCCACAACCTCACCCCTGGCATTTTACTTTTTTAAAAAAAAATCTACTTAAAATGGAAAAAATGTAGTTAAAGTGAACATCTAAATTAGCTTTGAAGAGAAAGAAGTGCTCTCACAAAATGTAGCATGCAGATAAGGATGGTGTTGGCAGGCAGCTGGCAACGTTGCCCGGTGCAGGGAAGAGAGGAGGAAGTACATAATGGATATTACTTATTTTTAAAAGAATAACTTTAAAATAGAATTTGCATACCATATAATACAGCTATGTAAAGCACACAGTTTAGTGGTCTTAGTTCAAAGCCATTTATTCATTATAATAATCTAGTTCCAGAACATTACTTCACTCCCCCAAAGAAGCCAATAACCGTTAAACACCCATTCCACATTTACCTTCTCCTAGATGAAACAACTACTAATGTACTTTCCGTCTCAATTTATTTGCCTATTCTAGACTATATTCATCCATTTATTTTGCCAATAGTACTATATCACAGATTCAGTGACTTATGAAGAAAATGAATTTATTTTGGCTATTAGTTCTGATTGAAAGGAGATGGGTCATTTCTGATAATGGCTTCCTTTCGAGTAGTGTTCTCAGGTGGCACAAGTGACAGCATTGGAAGACACAGTGAATGCTCATGTGTTTGTGTGTCCTCCTTCCTTCTTATAAGCAACCAGGAATCCATCCTGGAGCCTCAACTCTAATATCTAACCCAAATCACTCACTCCCTGGAGACTCTAAACACCATAATTAGATTGTTTCCAAACTCTTCATACCTCATGACAAGGATTAATTTCAATACATGAAAACCTAGAAGACACAAATTACAGCCAAATCAAAGCATTGGCACTGCACAGACTTGTACAATACATGTGACCTTTTATGGCTTCTTTTACTTAGCATGATATGCTCAAGGTTTATCCATACTGTAGCATGTATCAGCTTATCGGCATTCCTTCCAGATGAGTAACATTCCATTGTACAAATATGCCACCAAGAAATAGGGTCAACTGGAGTTGCTGGTAGGTCTGAAATTCAGGTCAGGGCAGCAGTCTTAAAAATAGGGAAGAGTTAATGTTGTAATATCCAGTTCAAAGGTTTGAAGCTCAAGCACAACCCTGGATTTCTTTGGGAGATGCTGGCTTCTTCTCTTCAGGTCTTTTATGAATTTAATAAAATCCAGTCACAATATGGAGGGTAACAAGCTTTGTTCAACTGCCAAGAATAAACATTAATCACAACTGAAAAAAAAATTCCCAGTAATATCTACACAGATGTTTGACCAATCAACTGTTTATCATAGCCTGTCCAAGTTGCCATGTAAAACCAACTGTTGGGCAGTTGAGATGGCCTTGCAAATAAATGCATTCATCACGTGCATCTGAAGACTTGAGTTTGATGTGCAGATCCTACAGTGAAAGGAAAGAACAGCCTCCCTAAAACTGTCCTCATGATGCAAATGTATGTACATGTTCTCATACACACAGAGGACAGGGACACACACAAGTGCGTGCACACACACAGAGATGGGAGGAAGGGGGAAAGAGAGGGAGAAGGGAGAGAGAGAGAGAGAGAGAGAGAGAGAGAGAGAGAGAGAGAAATGGGAGGAGATATATAAAAATTTAAAATGGTCACAGGACACAGGATTGTCTCCATTCTTTTGGCTCTCATGAATAAAACAATTAGAAACATTTGTGTACAAGTTTTTGAATGGATGTAAGTTTCCTTTTTAAATTTTGTGTATATGGGATTTTTTTCCTTCATGTATGTCTGTGTAAAATGTGCATGCCTTGTGCCCTTGAAGGCAAGAAGTGGGCATTGGATCCCCTGAAACTAGAACTACAGATGACTGTGAGCCACCATTCAGGTGCTGGGGATCAAGCCTAGGTCTTCTGGAAGAGCAACAGGTTCTCCTAACTGCTGAGATATTTCTCCAACTATGATGTATGGTTTGTTTTATTTGTGTGTGAAGATATGTGTTTGTGTGCACATGTGGGTGCATGTGTGCATGCATGCATGTGGAGGCCAGAGGTTGACATCCAGTGTCTTCCTCATATCATTTTCCATTTATTTCTTAAGATGGGGTATGCTACTAAACCTGGAGCACACTGATTGCCTAGATGGGCTGGTCAGCAACCCCCAAGATTCCTCTTCTCAGCTACACGCTACCAACTCCAGCTTTTTATCTGGTTGCTGGGGACTTCAGGTCCCCATGGTTTCATAGCATGTACATTAACCATTGTACCATCCTCCTCACACTGAATGCACTTTCAACTCATTAATAACAATGCGTAATCTTTTCAAGAAATTGCCAGATGTTTCCAAAGTGGTTTCATCATTTTATATTTCCATCAACTGTATATAAGAATCCCAATTTCTCCCTGTCTCTAACAACTATTACCAATATTGATTATAGCCATCCTACTGGGTTTTAATTCGAATTTATTTGGTAGCTGGCTTCCTTGATTGAATGATCAACTGATTGTGGAAGAGCATTTGACTATCAGTTACCGTTATTCACACAATTATTTCAATAAACTTTTTTGAAGTTTAAAAATGTTTGTGCACAGTGGCACAGACCTATAATCTCAGCATTTTGGAGGCTGAAGCAAAAAAAAGAAAAACTGAATTTCAGGCCAGCCTGAGATGTATCGTGAGTTCCAAACCACTCTGGCATACATAACAAGTTTGTGTCCAAAAATGATACTTTATGGGCCAACAAGGTAGCTCAGTGGGTAAAGGCACTGGCTGTCAAGCCTGCAATATGAATTCGATCTCCAGCATATACACAGTAGAAGGAGAGAACAGATTCCCTCACGCTATCTGACCTCTAGTCCCAGGAGCTTGGTACCTAAACACTCAGACGCCCAGACACACAAACACACTATTTATTTTTTTTTATAAATATTTATAATTAACAACGAACAAGACAAAGATCTTAAGGCGTTCATAGTGTATAGAGAGTTTATATAGTGATTATTTGTCCTCTTCAGGAGCTTGTTGTCTACCATCTGAATTCCATTACTTATGGGAGAAGCTCAACAGATCCTGATGCGAAGCAACACCCTTTTGCAATCAGGACACAGGTATGTGATTTAGATAATCCACTGATACTTCCTTGAATTGGGAGCTGGTGACCTACAGCAATAATCCACAGGCGCCTCCTGGAATTAGGAGCCAGTGACCTATAGCAAACAAACACCTTTGTTTGAGACTATTATGAAAATGTACCTTCTAGTTCTCCAAATTCAGGGTGTGCAGTTAGCCGTGGCCTTAGTTGCCATGATCAAAGTTTGCTATCTTGCTCTGACACCACACTGCCCACTTCAATAAGTGAGTAAACAAGTCCAGTTCTTAGAAATAAAGGACTGTTCCAAAGGTGCCTTTGGTTATAAGACTCTGAATATCTCTTTTCTCTCTGAGATCTTCTCCCGTTTCTCTCCCCACCTTTGCCCTCTGCCCTAAATAACAACCCCTCCTTGGGAAAAAAAAAGACTCTGAATCAACGTAGGTCAATAATTTTATTAGACTTTCACATCAGTCTAATACTCTTTCTATCCAACAGTCTTGCCCTCCCTCCTTCATAAAACTAAGACTTACATTGCAGTCCCAACAGCTTTCTCAGCCATCTCTAGAGTCCCACCCTATTTTCTGTCATAGGGTTTTCTACCAACAAATCTGTTACATATCTCATCCATCCTGGTACCCACTAGTCAGAGGACCTGAGCGGAACAGCAGATGTGGTAGTAGCAGTGGCTATTATGATGTTGATTTTGTAGCTTGGAGTCTGTCTGATTCTTCAGCACAACCCATGATTCTGTGAGCTACTTAACACACTTTCAATACATGCTTTTTGCCCCCAAGTAGTTATCAGTTTCTGTTGCTAACAACCAAGAACCTTGTGGATTATACAGGAAAAGATCAAAAGTGTCATGTTATAACACAGCATGATAAGAGTTGGGCAAGAAGCCCAGAATCTGGGAATGTGATCTGGTCTCTTGAGGGGAGAAGAGGATTTATTTCACTGTACAACTTACGGTTCTTCACCAAAGCAGCTCAAGGCAAGAACATGGAGGCAAGAACTAAAGGAAAGGTCATGGATGGATGCTGCTTACTGGCTTGCTCCTCAGGGTCAAATACAGATACCTTTCTTATACACTCCAGGACTACCTGCCTAGGGGTGGTGCCACCCCTACTGGTCTGGGCCCTCCTACATTAATTATTAATTTTAAAATGCCCTACACACTTGCCTACATGGAATCTGATAGCTGCAATTTCTCAACTGAGGTCTCCCATCCCAAATAACTGTAGGTTGTGTGAAGATGACAAAAATAAAAAAATAAAATATAAAAATTACCACACTTCTGAAAACAACACCAAAAACATCATTTTGTTTCTTTTAAAACAGATATTATAAGCAGCATTTACGGAAAGCTACAAATGGAGAGAGAAGTTTATAAAATTCATAGCCAAAACTGACCATAGATTAATACATTCAGTGAGAAGAATAATTCACTCACTGTTTAGTAGGTAATTATATGTTAAATTAAGTGAAACAATATACTTTGAAATACAACACATTAAAGCAAAAAAAAAAAACACACACACAAAAAACCAAAAAACCCTAACATTCAGGTATAATGTACTGAGTAGGCAAATTTAACATGATTTTTTTTCAATGCATTAGATTGGTTCTATTATCCAAGTTGGAATAAGCTGAAGAGTTCTTTAACCATAAATAGTATTAATACCAACCTTGGCCAGGCGGTGGTGGCGCACGCCTTTAATCCCGGCACTTGGGAGGCAGAGGCAGGCGGATTTCTGAGTTCGAGGCCAGCCTGGTCTACAGAGTGAGTTCCAGGACAGCCAGGACTATACAGAGAAACCCTGCCTCGAAAAACCAAAAAAAAAAAAAACAACCTTGGCTGAGAACATACTCTGTGCCCAGTGCTACTGTAGAACTAATGTAATACTTGCAATGCTCTCGTCACCTAGGAGCTATGGTAGGCTCCAATTTTAGGTGACTGAAAGTACAGAAAATTTAATAGAGTCATCTCAACTAGTAGAGCCAAGATTCAGAACCCAGGAAGTCAGGTTCTGGTACCTGGGTCCTAGTCACTTCAAACAGAAAATGGTATTAAAAATACTAATGTGGCTTGCAGAGAAATTTTAGTAACTGGTTTGACAATTCCAAGGCTATTAGCCAGAAAAATAAACACAACTTGAGAAGTACAGAGCTGAACTCAAGACTAACCGCTTTCCTCACTTCCAGACTGTACACCTTCCCACTTTACTATGCTTCCAACAGCAATTCTATTGGCCTGTGTCTAACTTGCTCCCAACCCCAACTACATTTTAGCATCAATGCCCTACTTTAGAATGACCATTACACTGAAATGTATCGGTGTATGAGTGGGTCTACCTCCCAGGATTTGCTCACCTCTTCCAACCTATCTGAAAAAGTTTTCTGCCCTATTTTCTCCTATATCCCAACATGATCCATCCCCGTAAGTCAAACTTACATTTCTGCCATTCGGTGAGATTCAAATTCTCTATCTTTTTTTTTTTTTCAGAACAACTAAGCTTTTACTGTCTGCTACCAGTTCTTTTGCTATCTAAACTGATCTCAAGAGTACACGCTTTATTTCCCTAATTATCCACAAGGATTCCCCAGGAGCAGTGCGAGCTGTGCTCTCCATTAGGACAGCAACTGTCTGCATGTGGCTACGTAAAATTAAACTAAGTACAATCCAGTAAAACGGAAATCGCAATTTCTCGATCACATTAGTCCCACTTGAAGTACTCGGCAGCCTCATGTGTAATTTAGACAGTGTGGGTACAGAATATCTCCACATCATAGAAAATTCTAGTGGACAAGAACAGAGAGACAGTCTGTTCCAGCTCTCACACTCGCAGGTACCCTTTCTGTACTCTCCCTGTAAATATTGTTTCCTCTGAACTTAAACAAGCATCCTGAGCACAAAAAGTGAGGGATTTTCTTAAATGCTGATTCCTATAGCCAAAGAGGAGTTCAGAAGATAAATCTCAAAGGTAAACATCACTTTATATGTCTAATCGAATCTGAAAACCTTTGCCTTTTCTCAGTTCTCATCCTTCCTGATCCCTCTGCTACCTTTAGCATTATGTAGAATAGGCTTGCATCTTCTCAAAAAGTCATCTTGTTTTGCTCCGCTGGCACTGTAACCACGAAAACAATGGCCACTGATTTACTTATTACATAGCCTCTGTGTCAAGTACTGTCCAATGTCCTTTAGAGGCCTCAACCAGCATATTAGGGAAGAACTATTACTATAAATCCAAAAGGTTTTGGAATCTGAAACTTTTTGAACATCAGAAGCATTTAGGATTTTGAAACATTTTGAATTTCAGATTGGAGATGTTTACATCATAAAGTCTACGTCTATGTAACTATTGCAAAATTGGGAAAACTATGAAATGTGGTCCCAAGTATTTCAGAAGAGAGATACTCTCCCTGCATTATCTCCATTTCATAGATGAGGTATCTGAAGTTCAAAGAAGTTCATTTGGTTTGTTCAAAGTCATTGCAATAATGGAACTAGGACTACTACCCAAACCTCTTCCAAAGTTCTTCAAGTGAGTCACTACAAGATCAAATCAATGAAAGCAGGCAGGTGGGCTATGAAAAGCAACAACAAAGAATAGAAACATCCTATGCAAAACTGCCTGGTTCTTTTGGTTCTTTGGATTGTGGGAGGGGGTGACCCAGAGCAGGGCAGTGAGTGGAATATAAAGTGACTAAGTAAAAAAACAATTAATTAAATGAAAAAAATCAACTGCAGTGATGCACAGGAGTAATCCCAGCCTCCCTACAGTGAGCATGAGATAGGAGGTGTACAGAGGAGAATCACCTGTATGCTCCAACCAGCCTGGAGTATGTGGTGCAGCAGCAGAAAGAAGAGAGGCCTTACCCTAACAAGATTAAAAAAAGAGAAACACTATGAGGGCTTTAGCCTGAGCACCAACTCCTCCAGCACAGCTCAGTCATGTCTGACTAAGTCTTGGCCACAGTTGCAGAAACAGAGCCCAAAACAGAACCAAAGAGAGACAAACAGTCTCTTGTGTAATTAAAGGGGACCATTGATGGAGTGTCTGTTTGGATCACCACCCTGAGTTGATCTGGACACGTTTTAGTGTAAAGGGCCTACAGGAGAAAATGTCATTCTGGACAATGGAAGGTGTGATCTTTCCTTTCCTAGATGCACTGTGGCTATTTATTGTTCAATTACTTGGTAATTGTCTTTGGCTTCCCCCAACTGTTAAGACAATTAAACATCTGAAAGGGTGAAATGAGCAGACAGTTTTTCATAGGATGCTTCTATTATTTCGTGTTGCTTCCCATGGTCTCAAGCACTTCAGATGAGGGCTATTCAACTTGTTATCTCCATTTATAGGTGAGGTATCTGAAGCTCAAAGAAGTTAATTTGATTTGTTCAAAATCACAGAACTAGAGCTACCAGCCAAATCGCTTTGAAGGCGCCTCTTGTGAGTCACTACAAGATCAAAACAACAAAACACAACACAACAAAACAAAACAAAACAAAACAAAACAAAACAAAACAAAACAAAACCCAGGCAGTTAAGAGCACTTGTAGCTCTTGCAAAGGACCCAGGTTCGATTCCTATTACCCACATGGTGGCTCACAACTGTCTGTAACCCTAGCCCCAGGGAATCCAATGCCTTCTTTCGTTTTTTGCAGGCACCAGACACAGATATACATACAAGCCAACTCCTCATATACATAAAATAATAAAATCAGCAAATATAAAAATGTTAAAAATAGAAACAGGTGGGGCCGGCCAAACTCTTCTTTCTACAACAGATGTAGTGCTGGCTACTTCCTCCTTTAGATTTCTCTAGCTTCCTCACTCTACCATGTTGGTTTCTTCCTTTTCAAGTTTTTCTTTTTTGTAGTGTGTGTGTGTGTGTGTGTGTGTGTGTGTGTGTGTGTGTGTTGTGTATGCGCATGCACCACAGTATGAGTGTGGCAGTCAGGGGCAAATTGCTGGAGTTAGTCCTCTCCTTCCACTGTGTGGGTTCCAGGGA